TCCCGCGCTGCGAGTAACGCGAATGGGCTCTGAATGTGAAGTCGTTTCAGTCTGTCTCACGGTGCGTCTAAATTACTGTTATTCTCTTCCCGAGTATCTTTCCCACTTGTGAGCACATTTGACTTTTTGTAGGTTACTAGTTTTATGATCAAACAGAAGTCTGTAATGGTGATTATAGATCGTGACTCCCCTGTTCATCTCTTTCAACAATTCTAAAAACATCAAAAAAATAAAAAGAGATAGAATTTGGGGGCATGGCAGATCGAGCCGTATGATATTCCGCTTTATTTGGAGTTTAACGTTTTTCCTCCTTTCTCTCCCGTTTGCATTCCTAGGTAGTAGGCAGGTGGTGATACGGGTTCTGGAGCTGCTTGCCGAGGACCTGGTGCTGACCGGTGAAGCGATTTCAGCAGACGTCTGGGATGACAGCAGCCTTTTTGCCATAGATATGGTGAGAGCCAGTGTTTTCCTTGGGCTCTGGGTAATAATGTTAGTGTTTTATTTTATTTTGGTCCTCTTAAGCCGGTTTCATTGTCCCACTAGTCTTTGAAAACTTTCTTTCTCTTAGACACAGTAGATCTTGGGCTTATATTCTGCCTAGTCTGGGGATTCTGGTTCCTTTTAGTGGGGGAATGTATATCAAGACCCAAAGCAGGCCATTGGGGCTGCTTGCAGTTACTGTGGTGCCATTATTTCCTTTCTGTAATAGAACTAGGGAATCTGTATTGTAAAAAATGTATGAATTCAGATTGCTGTTTCCTCCGAGTTTAAAGTTGTATTTCTTGCTTTACTTTGTCGTTCTCATCTCAGCAGCATCAACATAATTGTTCATTAGCTTTAACCTTCAGTTACGTCAGGTAATTTCAGAACAGCACTATCAGTGTCACTGTGGTTTGGTAGCTAATAATGTTCAGGGTTTCCTGGCCACTCTTCTTGACTTAGACTAAATCGCACTAAGAATATACAGCCAGAATTCTGTGCCTCAAAGTCACATGAGATAATTCTTTCCTCTGTTCCCAATTCAGTATATGATTAGATTTGTTTTAATTTGTTTTCTTTTTTTTAATTAAGTATAGTCAGTGTACAGCGTGTCAGTTTCTGGTGCACAGCATCAAAGTTTCAGTCATACATATACCTACAGATACTCATTTTCATACTCTTTCATGATAGGTTGCAATAAGATATTGAATATAGTTCCCTGTGCTGTATAGTAGAAACTTGTTTAGTTTATATATAGTAGTTAGTATCTGCGAATCTCGAACTCCCAGTTTATCCTCTCCCACTCCCTTCCTGTTTTCATTTTTGGGAATTGTTTTTTCTTCATAAAAATGTAACTCAGAGTTGTCTCTCTGCCATCCTGTTTTCTGGTTTATTTTTTCCATTTTTATTTTAGTTTTTGCAAATGTAAGTGAATTAGCATGTAGATTCTTTCTCCCTCTTGCACATCTTACAAAAATGTTGTATCATGTGCAGTTTCACACCTCATTTTTACAACTTAAGATTCCTCCTGTATGGTACCTAGACTTACGATGGTGATCATTATGTACAGAAATACTGAATCACTATGTTATGTAACAGAAACTAACGTAGTGTTGTCAGTTAGTTATACTTCAAAAACAAACAAACAACTCATAGGAAAAAAAAGATCAGGTTTGTGCTTACCAGAGGTGGGGAGTCGGGAGAGGGGAAGTTGAGTGAAGGTAGTCAAAAGGTACAAACTTCCACTTGTAAGACAAATAAGTAGTAGGGATGTAATGTAGAGTATGATAAATTTAATTAACACTGCTGTGCGTTGTGTGTGAAGGGTACCAAGAGAGTAAATCCTAAGAGTTCTCATCACAAAGAAAAAATGTTTTTTCTACTTCTCTAATTTTGTTTCTATATGAGATGATGGATGTTCACTAAACTTAATGGGATAATCATTTCATGATGTATGTAAGTCAAATCGTTATTCTGTGATCCTTAAACTCACAGAGCTGTATGTCAATTATGACTCAATAAAACTGGAAGAGAATGCGTCCTGTGT